TTGTCTTCCTCTTTTTTTTTTTTTTTTTATTCTGACGCGCTCTCGTCTTTGTGTTCTTTTTCTTTCCCAGCCAAAATACAAAACACAAATGAACCATAATAATAAATGCCGGCAGGTAACGCCGGCAGGACATCGTCAGACCCATTAGCCTTCCCCGCCAATGTTCTTTGGGTGGTGATTTTCCTTCACTTTGCGGCTTCTTTTTTTCCCTTACAATGAACAGAAGCGAGAATTAAACAGCAGGGCCCGGGCAACATTGTGGTCACGTCTTACTGCGTCGTGGTGACGGAGGACGCCGTTGTTATTTATGCCAGCGGCGGGGCCAATACAAGAAGGACAAGCACACACAAAAGGGACATTTGACACGCCAAAAAAATAAATAATAGTAATACCGATCGACTGGATGCGGGCTGAGTGGAGACGCAGGTGAGTCTGCCGCAATGTATTCCTAGTCGTGAGCAGCCTTTGTTTTTTTTGCCGCCTGACCGGTTGACTGGCCGACGCAACCCACGCATAAAACAAAAAAAAGGGGAAGCTGGCGGAAAAGTTGCGCAGAGCAGGAGGTGTCTGTCTGCGTCTCGTGAGGAGTGGGAGAAGGGGTACACAGCTAACAGAGATGCGGCAGGCCCCCACCCACTGGAAGTTTCTAATCGTCTCTGCGGCAGGGTTGTCTCGTGGCACCCATTTGAGCGGCACGGCGTTATTCGCTGCGAGACGGACAGCAAAGAGTATGAAATTCACAGTGCGCGCGCGTTTGAGACCATTTGACCTGCACGACTGCGTCACTTGGAGGGTGCTACGGTTGAGTTTGAAGCCATCCGCGGCGCGCAAGACGTGGACCATGTCATCACGCGCAGTCGTCTGGAACCCATCACGGCGAAGAGTTATGCGCGACAGAGTCCGGTGGACTTTCTTGCTGGCTTTCGCCTGGAACCGTGTCGTGCAACGACACCAGAGGTAGTTGCAGCGCCAGGCGCCGCCGGCGCCTCCTCCTTGCCTTCCTCCTCATCCCCAGTCTCCTTTCCGGGGCTGCTCGTTGGAAAGATCACAGTTGACGTAATCATAGTGGTGTTAAAGGGAGGCAATGGGTGACATCGTTGCGGCGGAGGGGGCGGGTGTGGAGGGTGCATTCATCGGGGCAGAGGAGGAAGAGATGGGTGTGCGGCCTCTGCTGGGTGTAAAGGACCTTCGTAATTCCATGATACTGGACGCGGACATAAGAGATCTGCTGCGCCTGCGTCATCAACTTGTCGACGACGCAAAAGCCCACGAGGCACTGCAGCAACGGCGAACCGAGGCGGAGACTGCGAAGGTGGAACAACGGGGGGTACTCACCGCTCATCAGACGGGGATCGTTTTGGTGTGGTCCTCTCTGTATCCTAGTGGAGTGGTGATGACGAATGCCACGAAACTCCCGGAGTGTGCTACGGAGACCCACACGGAAGACACGTGCATTATTCGCAATGTTGGTGCCTTTGACACGCCGCTTTCCAAATAGCTGAACTTGGTTGGTCGTGCCATTAGCTTTGCGAAGGTGGTGTACGCCTCGCATCCCTCGAAGGCTTGTGCTGAAAACATCACAGCGATTGGGAAGTTGGACTTTGATGAGGCTCATACTGCTTCGACGGAGGCGAAGGTGAAGGAAGCGGTCGCCACGGAGCACACAAAATGTGCGAAGCAACTTGGCACCCTCTTTGAAGATATTGATGACGATAATGAGCTGCCGCTCACCGGTTCTCTCTACGGTGTGGTGACACGATGGAGTGGCGGGCAGGGCATAGTTGAGACGGGCAATAGGCGACTGTATTAGATTCGCTCCGCGGCCGATATTAAGCAACTTGTCGATCAAACCAGTAACACTATCCGAGGGGCCATGATTTGTTTCACCGTCAATGGAGAAAATCGTCGCAACGCACGGGAGGTGAGCATTCTTTCTCTTGCCATCCGAGACCCCGCCTCTGTGATGCCGATCCTGCAAGGGCGCACAGAATCCACGACAACGACGAGTGCCACGGAGGAGACTTCTGTGGTTAATGCTGGTGGTGGCGGTGGAGGTGGCGGTAGTAGTAGTGTCAGCTCAGCGGTGGGTGTGGCGGAGGAGCTTCCGGCTGATGCCACCTGGCTGCAAGGAACATTGATTACAATATGGTCGCCGTTAGAGGACCAAGGCGTCATTGAAGGTGACAATGGCAGTCGCTACCTTCTTCGCGACGGTGAGGAACATGTGAGGGATTATAAAATATGCAAGCCTCTTCTAAAGAAGGGCCGCCGTGTGAAGTTTACATCATTTGGTGGTACGGGTCTATTAGCGTGCCACGTCATGCCGCTTAATGCTGAGGCAGACGCGGCGATTCTTGCAGAGGCGGAGTTGCAATCCGGAGAGCAGCGCGTGAGTGAGGGGCCCGCAGAGGAGGCCCTCGCTTCTCCCATGAGTACCGCGTACTGGATCACGCGAATGGACCGAGCGGGGTACGACACCACAGAGGTAAAACAAATGCAAAACAAGGCAATCACCTTCGACGACGACGAGGAGGACGACAAGCTGCTTGATACGGAGGAACTCTTCAAGAAGGATCACTGGTTCAGTGACCCGCGGAAAAACATACGCCTGCCAACCAGTGACATGACAGTCAGCAACCTTGCTCTCATTGGTCCAGCGTCGATGATGAACATTGCAATGAAGGCCCACAACCCGCAGAAGCTGGAGAAAGTGACGAACAAGTACTCCAACCGACTAAGCGAGCCCATGAAGGAGTTTGCCTGGAAACAGGCGAAGGAGCTTGCCTCCAAGTATGAGAAACGTATCAAAGTGGCACGGGAAAAGGGAGATGAGCCCGGGTTTTCTTTTTATTGAGTTCCCTGCAAGAAAAAAAAAAACAGAAAAAAAAACAGAAGCAATCGAACAAAAACGAAATGTAAAATGCTGGGAAGGTTCCTTTTTTGTCTACTTTTATTCCTTGCACTTCTTGTCATTTAGTCACTTACTTTCTCACTTTCTTTCTTGTCTTTTTTTATTATTCTTCTTTTTCTCTCGTTCCCTCTTTGGCTTGCCTCGGGCCACGGAGTAGTGGGTTCGCCGTTGCTGTACGACTGACATGGTGTCCAAGACTAGGCGACAGCGGCAGCGGCGGAAGGCGGTACTTGAGGCGAACAATGGGGTTCTTCCACCGGTGGTACCGGCGGTTCCCAAGTCGGTACATCTCAAGAACACACGGCCCAAAATGAAGAGCAAAATGAAGATACGCCTCGGCCACGAAAGCCTTGTTGACATTTATGAGGGATTCGAGGATCGCAAAGGTGTTTTGTGGCACTGCCCAAAGTGTCAAAAGGAATGCCGTGTGGTTGGATTCTGCGTAGACTGTGCCACAGGCACAAAGTCAAGGACACACACAGGGGTGCTAATGGCTCGCCACAAGACTGGAAAGAAGGTGGCGGTAACGTTGGCGGTTAAGAAAACAAAGAAGCTCAAGCTTAAGAAAAAGAAGTGAATTACGTGACTTTTTACGTGTTGATGCGTAACCGCAGCGGGTAATGGAATGGGTTTTGTGTCTCAGGTGGGTGAGTGTCTGTGTGTGTGGCGGAGGAACGTCCTCCCCACCTGTTTTTGATTTATGCGTTGTTTGAGACAGTGCATGTGTGCACTTGATGTAGAATGCATTCTTCCGACACGATACGGCGAGGTCCCTGTGACTTCATTACTTTTTTTAAAATAAAATAAAAATAATAATTTCTTTTGTACTTTTGATTTGTACTTGCAAGCAGTAGATCACTATTGTCATCCTCTCAGCCACTCCTGGCTGAGGAGACGACGAGGGCAACCGCCGTGTGGTGGTCATGGAGGGGCTTTGGAGGACGCTGGTTGATGCCCATTTGGAGGTTTTGAATGCGACAGGGTGGGGCGCGCTGCTGGATGGACTGGCGACGTCATGGAGTGAGGGCGGAAGCGGCATGTTGCATCTCATGTACCAGCAGGCCAGCAATTTTGTGGCGGCGGTTAACTGGTCCGAGCCATTCTTCACGTACCTCGCGTTGTTTCACTTAGTTGTCATTGCTCTGGTGTTAGCGCTCACCTGGCGTGCGTCGGCGGAGCGTATATTTGTAGTGGATGCTCTTGTCCTTTTACTCGGCTGGTGCTCGTCGCACATCAACGAATTTGGACGATCGCATGCGTCGGCGATATTTGTGGAAAAAGGAGTGAACTACTTTGACCGCGGGGGCCTGTTTATTAGTGTGGTGTACTGGTGTCCGCTTTTTCTCGTTGCCCTGCTTCTGCAGGGACGCCTTCTCGTGCAGATGTTGAGGTTGATGATTGTAACAAAGCGAAAACAGCTGCAGAAGGAAATGAAGGAAAGGGTCGCCGCCGCCGTCGGAGGGGGAGAAGGAGCGGGGATAAAGACTTCTTCTACTGGTGCTACAGGGAAGACATCTACTGAAACGAAGAAGAAGAATTGATGTCTTTTTTTTTTTTTTTGTAGGAGGAGGAAAGCCATTTTTTTTGTTGTCTTTTTTATTTTTATTTTCTTTCTCTTTTTTGGCGCCTTCCATTCCAGCTACGGACATCCATGTCTACATGTGAGTGTATGCATTTCTCTTGGTGTCTGCCTGGCTCCGCTAAACACATTGATTTTTATTTCTTTTCTTTTTTTCCCCCTTCTTTTCGTTTCGGTCTGACTTTCCAACGTCTGCATAGGCATTAATCATCTTGGTTGATGGCATGAGCTCCTGGGTGTCTGTGAAACACTTTCTGCAGATCAAAACGACCTCGTATGTTCGACGCGGCCTTGCTGTCTTTGGCCTCTACGGCGTGGCTAGCGACTACTACCTGATGCACTACTACCAGGCGTTTGAACCAGCTGAGAGGCAACAGTACGTGGTTGACTGCAGCCCCATTGAGCGTCCACGGTGCCAGGTGCATGTGGTGCCGAGCAACCACTATCCCGACTACACGCCGTGGACACCGAAGAACGGCGACGTCGTACTCGCGCGCAGTGTGTCGAATGAACCAAACTGGTTGCAGTTCATCAGTGGACGGTTTATAGAGCACCAAACCTGTGGGGTGCGCCTTGCGATTCCGCTCGAAGAGGTGCAAGAGAAAGAGCGACAGCGGCAAAAAGACGAGGAGACACTTAAAAAAATGCTCTAGCGATAGGAGCTGTGTTGCAGTGGTGCTCTCCCTTTTCTCGTGTTTCTCCTCTCTTTCCCCGAGGCTTTCACATGTTTTATGTTCTCTCCCACGATTCGAATCGTGGGAGCTTCACATTAAAAAAAAAAAACTTGGGCATTATTACGGTCTCAGCCCTGGTGTCTTGCGCTCACCCTACACGAACGTCCTCCGCTTGCCCCAGTCTTTTTTTTTAGTTGTTGTTGTGGTTGTTTCTTCCGTTTTGTAGTCGTGTTGTTGTATTCATTTATCCCTGGCGGAAACAAAGATACCGGTGGAGAGAGAGAGAGAGACCTCTGACTGTCTGTTTGCCTCCCCATCTCTGTGGGCGACGAGCCGTGAGGAGGTAACTGCGGTAACAGCGGGGTAACGTCCAACTAAAAAGCCTTTCATGGCACTGCGTCGCAGTGCTTCTCGTTTCTGCCCTGCCTCCAGCGCTGATGCGTTCGGGATGGCGGTCGCACAGCCGCGGCGTATGCCCAACGCCCTTTTTATGGAGCAGCGGGAGAAGATCCTTGCGGATCTTCGCGAGAACAGAAATGACAAGAGCCTTGCAGGTCGAGTCGACCCGCAGGTGGCATCGTTGGTTCAGTTCATCAATGAAAAGTTTTGCTGCTATGTGACGTCCAGCTCGTGCTCTGGGCGGGTTTCATTGTTTCACAGGGGCCAGATGTTGAACACGATGGAGGGGCAGCGGATAGAGCGTAAGCGTGGCGCCTTTGGTCAGGGCGCGTTGTTTCAGACACATGATCCATTCTCTGATGTGGAGGGAGCAGTGGAGCATCTTCTGACACCTGCTTTGGAAAGTTTCTCTGCGTGGCGAAAGAAGCAGCATGATGATGACCCGCTTATATATGAGACGGAGCTGTTACAACTGAAATTTGAGCCGATGATTGTTCATGTTTTGTGCGAGACCATGGACGATGCGGCGCGGCTGCTGCAGTGTGCAAGTGAGAGTGGTCAAATGGAGAGTGGCGTGCTTTCGTGCTCGCGTGGAACTTCTGAGCATCGGAAGATTACTTGCTGTATCACGTCACCGTTGTGCGTGGACATTCCTTTGTTTGCACAAGGTCGCTGGCTGCTGGGGCACGCAAACTTTTTTAGCCCAGAGTGGAAGTCCCTGCTCACGAATACTGTTATTCACACGAACACATTATTTTCTGCAAACGAGGTGCGGCGTTTCCGGTTTGCGGGTGAGGTGCAGAGGCGGTTGTTATGATGATCACGAAAGGGATGTATTTTTCTTTTTCGTTTTTGTCGCTACATCTCTGTCTGCCTTTTCTTGGTGTTTGGGAAGGGAGGGAGGTGAACATTGCCGGCGTCTGAGAGAAGTCCAACGGGGCATCGCCGTTTGGTGTGCCACTCCTCATTGCCCCCCCCCCCTTTTTTTTTTTTTTTGATCTGGCGTGTTTGTATCTGTCTTTGAAGCGGCGATGGAACTTCTTTCGTGGAGGCGGTACGACGACAAGTACGGGCTCTCCCAGGTCCTCACGGAGGCCGCACGCTCCTGCGTCGATGCGCATACCTCGCGGCCGAAGGAGTACCTTGCCGCGTACTTCACCGAAAAGTGTTCCGGCGACGAGATCCGGGACATCTTCACACGCCCCGTGTATCTTCCTAACGGCTCACTTGTGCTTCGACTGACGCTGCAGCTATTGAACGGGATGGAGGCGGAGGCCACGGCGTTTGTGCAGCCCTCACTCCTTGAGGATGACACTGGCGCAGATGAAACCGTCGACCCCACCACCTACACTGCAGAGGCGCTTCAAAAAAATTACTTCCCCCGTCTGCTTCAGTGTGGTGCACGAGACCAAGAAGGGTTTGACAAGACGCTGCACCAAATTTGTTTCTCCGCTGATCAGATGGATCTTGGGGTGAGTGTGATGTTCGGCTTGAGCTCCCTGGCGGCCTCTGCGGCTGCGCGCTGCGCCTCCATGTCGTTGTTTGCGTACTTGCGCCGCCACTTTGCCGCCTTCGAGGAAAATGAGAAATTTGCCATTTCCCAGCTGTGCGTGAATTTCTTTGGTCCTGAAAACATCTCGACGGCTCGTCTCGCACTGAAGGATGTTCTTCTCATTCCAGCCATGCCTGAGGGTTCCCTGCGGTCTGACATCGTTCAAAAGATTTTTGCCGTGTTTCACCACTTCCGCCGAGCACACAACACCATGATGCGCTCTGACGGTTCGCTCGCATTTGATGACTTTGATAATGTGACAAGCGCCGTGAACTTGGCCGAGGAAGCAGTGCGTGCGGTGGGTCTCACACCTGTGACTGATATTTGCATCGGCCTACGCTTTGCCGCTGCTGTTGTTCCGTCGTCGTCGTCGGGGACCGTAGCATCAAATGTGGCTGCAGGGAAAGAAAACAAGGACACGGCAGATGTGATGTACGCACTTTTTCCAGGCGACATGGACGTGTCCGGGGCACAAGTATCTGAGTACGTGCGGGAGCAGTTGCAAAACCGCACCGACTTTGTGGTTTACGTGGAGGACACACACTGCGACAAGGATACCACCGGTTTGCGGCGTTTGCAGGCACACCTGGGCGAATACCTGACCGTGTCTGGTCGTGATCTTTACGGTCGAAGCCAGTACAAGGCTGTGGAGGATGGGCTTCGTAATCTATGGACGTCGAACTTTGTTCTGGATCCTGGCGCTATAGGGACGTTGTCCGACGTTCGTGAGATTGTGCGCCGTGTGAAGGAGTCGGACGGGCGTCGTGTGAGTTTTGTGGCGCAGGATCTAGTGGGAAACGCGGCCATGATTGCGCACCTGTCGGTTGCCATGGATGCCCGCTTCCTGTGCATGGGTGGGCTCTTGAGCACTTCGCAGTGCGAGGTGTTGTCGCATCTCATGTCTATTCAGGCTGAGTTGCTGCACTCAACCGCTCTCTGTCGTGAGGCACCGAAGCTCGCCTGCATGGAGCTTCCGAAGCTTCCTGCTGCTGTGGTGCCGGAGATCAAGCGCCGGATGGACAGGAAAAAGCGTAAGAAGTAAACCCACACTACCTGTTGGTTCTTTACTTTCATGGTCCCAGCGCAACGAGGGGATGTACATAGCTCAGGCGGGGCAGCTAGAGGCGGTGCGATGCTGCAGTTTTTTTTTTTTGATTCGTTTTCAGCCGTTGCTGCTTCTTCTTTGTATGCCGGCTCTCCAGGCCTCTTTTTCTTTCTCTCTCTCTCTCTCGATGCATGCCCTCTCTCTTTTTTTTTCCCCTCATTTTTTGGCGGGCTTGTTGCCCGTTTTTTTTTGTTTCTTTTTTCAAAGGCTTGTGTAGTTTGATTTTTTTTTTTTGCGAAACACATACTACTAAATTCCAGTCGTCGCCTTGTATATCCACCGCTACCAGGCAAAGAGACAACAACAACTACTACGAAATGTTTCGACGCACCGTGGCGGCGCTGCGTGTCAGCCCCTACTCCCTCTTCCTAAAGGAACTATCGAAGAAAAAGGAACTGACGGGGATGCCGTTGAAAGATACCGCAGCTATTGCTGCCCGCATGTACCGCGCCCTTCCACCCAAGAAGATGCAGGCACTTAGGGCGCGTGCTGTGAAGATGAATTACCCTGCACTGGATTCTTTCAACCGCTTCCAACGGCGGCAAGCGTTTCGCTTCACGCACCTCAGCAACTTGCAGCGCCAGCGCATCATTGGGATGATGTGGAAAGAGCTGAAGAAAAAGGCGATGCAGGCGAAGAAGCGAGGCCAAAAGTCTCTCAAGACGGTTAAAAAGACAACTAAGCGAAAGGAGGAGGCGCTGGATGTGGCTGCAAAGAAGAAGGCGGCTCTGAAGCGCAAGGCGGCTCTGAAGCACAAGACGGCTCTGAAGCGCAAGGCGGCTTTGAAGCGCAAGACGGCTCTGAAGCGCAAGGCGGCTTTGAAGCGCAAGACGGCTCTGAAGCGCAAGACGGCTCTGAAGCGCAAGGCGGCGGCAAAGCTTGCGGTGGCATAGATGAGACTCTGCTAAGGATTAGAAACACACAGGGAAGTACAAGAGGAAGTGAAATGGGATAGCTCGAACAGAACAAGTGGAGTCGCCTTTTTTATTATTTTTGGGATGTGGGGCCTGGCGTCATTTTCCCCATGTCGACCTGTATCTTTTTTTTTTGTTTTGTTTTGTTTTACGTCTCGGGTTTTGGTTTGCTGTTCCGTTTGCCCCATGCGGAGGGCGGCAAACGCAAAGCTGCATGTAGCTAAGGAGGTCCCTCTGCACGAGTGCCGCGCGTTAGTTTTGTGTCATTTTGCCTTTCCCTGCTTCTACCCCTTTTCCTTCTTGTTTTGCTTGTTTTGCTTCTTTTGTCTTCGTCTCGTGTCCTTGCGGGCGCTCCGGCCACTCCGCGTGCATCCTGATCTGCGTGGCGGCGGGCTGGTGGAAAAGGATATGCGGAGGTGGGGCAAAGAGGTACACAAAGAATAAATGGGGGGAAGAAGAGGGAACGTGAGGGAATCGGAGGGGCGAAGGAAAGAAACTAAATGGGGTGTGAGGCGCGGCTTTGACGGCGAGGGTAAAACCGAAAAGAAGATTGGGGAAGGAGACGGTGAGGGTTCCTGGCAACAGGACTGCGCTGATGCACGAACACCTTTTTTTTTCTTTTTCGTTTTTGTGGTCTATATGCACACGGGCCCACTCATAGAGAGCTTGCACGTTCGTAGATTTTTTTTTTTGTTGTTGTTGTGTGTGCGTTACAACACGGCTGCGCCAGGCACACACGCACACTCAGTTGCATTCATGCGGAGACTTTCCTTAGTGTTGACACTGCCTAACTGCTGGTGCCGCTTGCCTCCACGGGTTTCTCTCTGTGAAGGAGGAGGAGTGGGAGGGATGGATGGAGGACCTCTCGTGACTTTACGTGTTGTGTTGTCATTGGCGGTTGTGGAGGTTAGTCGCTCGCTTTTTGCGCTGTTTTCCATTTTGTTTGTATTTTGTCTTTGGATCCTTTTGTTTTATTGTAATTTTTATTGGGCCCGCGGGGGCGGAGCTGCGTCTGCCTCTCCCTCGCTCTCTTCTTCTTCCGGTGCCCCCTCCCCTCTACTGCTCGACGTGGGTCTTTTTTTTTTATTTCCACCTCATCCGTCTCTCTCCCTCTCGCTCCCAACCCGTCCGTATGCGTTTGCGCGGATGCCAGAACGTTGAGGCGCAGTCAGTCGGCAGACCGAAGAGGTTTGCGAGAAGAAAAACAGCAACAACCAAAAAGGCAAAAGCGAGGAAAAAAACATGTCGGCGGGTGACTTCTTCACCATCACCGACCCCGCACAGAAGGAGCAGGCGAAGCACATGATTTTCAAGCTGCAGTCCAAGATCCTCTACAGCGAGAAGTACTACGACGACGAGTACGAGTACCGTCACGTTGTGTTGCCGAAAGACTTTGCCCGCCTGGTGCCGCGCAACCGCCTGATGGAGGAGTCCGAGTGGCGCCAACTGGGCGTTCAGCAGTCGGTCGGATGGCGCCACTACATGACTCACAAGCCAGAGCCGCACGTGCTGCTCTTCAAGCGACCAAAGCAGCTTTAGAAGGAAATGGTATATACATATATTTCTTATAGACGAAGTAACCGGACATCCTTCTCCTCAAGAAGAGGGAATCACCAACAACAGTATGACAAAATATCTGGGAACATAAAAATCCTGTTTTTTTTTCCCCCCTTCTCTGCCGTTAGAGAGGAGGTGCGTGCAGGCAGTCGGCGGCCGTGCACCCTCTGTCTGTTATTATTATTATTATTTCTGGACACTGGTGGCAAGCGCGTCGCAAATTAATATAAAAAAGAAAATGGCTTTATGCTCCTGTATGTTTATTATTATTGCTATGCCTTTTTTGTGCTGCCTTACATCTTATTTTACTTCTCCTTCTTCTGCTGTATATAGCCGGTGTTATATCACTGTTTCACGATGACGAGTGTTGGGTGGAGGGGGTGGATGCTGTTATCGGGCCTTGTGGCTCTTGTGCCAGTGGCTGCGCTCTACATGCGGTTTGGCTGCGGCTGGAGGATGCGTGTGAGCAAACGTGGACCGAAGGATGATGACGACGACCTTAATGCGCAGGCCAACACTGCCACTACGGGGGTCGATAGGGAGGCACGCAAACGGTACCATGACGCACTTGAGCAGCTGAAGGAAAATGCCAATGAGATGTTTAAAGGGGCGAAATTCGATACTGCGTTGGAGATGTACCAGGGGTGCCTTGACATGTGCGCCGCGCTGGGCACCGAGGATGCCAAGGCGGTGCAGATTTCTCAAGTTGTGCGCGCTAATGTGGTGCTTGTTTTTCTGAAGCTCCAGAGGCCTGAGGAAGCGCGGATGCTGGCGACGTTTTTGTTGCAGGACGATACAAGCCCCGTCGATGGGGAGTTGAAGGTGAAGGTGCTTTACCGGCGCGGGCTTGCCAGCCAGGAACTCGGGGACCGTGAATCGGCTTTGTGCGATTTTAATGCCGCTGTTGCATTCTCGCCCGGTGGGAAAAATCCAGCGGTACAAAGCGCCATTGTGGCTCTCTCCCGCAGTGCCACGGCATGACAACGAAAAGAGGCGTACACGCAGGCGGTGGTGAGTGCTCGCCCTCTTTTCTCTTTTCTCGTTTCCTTCAGTCATTTCTGCTGTGCGAGCGGTGCGGGGGTTGTTTTCTTTTGACTTTGCTTGAATGCAGGAGATGCTGCCGTAATGGCTACGCCGGGCTGTCTGCGGTGGCCTCGCTGAGGCGGGGGAGGGGGTTACGATGGGTTTCCCTGGTAATATCGATGTGGAGGGTGCGCACACACGCACCACACACGCCTTCTCCAATATAACCCACACACGTTGGTTTAGAAGAAGACGCAGAAGGAGCACTAAGTCAGGCTCCTGTTTCTCACTCGAAGACGCGTGCCTTTCTGCGAGAGCTGCACAAGCACGCACGCACGCAGGATCAGGGCACTATTTATTTATTTTTTACTGTTGTTTTAGTTTGTTTTTGGCTTTTTTATTTACTGTGTTGCGCTCCTTTGTGTTCACAATTTTTATTTTTATTTTTTCCTTCTTTCTTTTTACTTTTCAGCAACAGGAATATGTTGACTCCGATATTTGTCTGCGACCAGGATGAATCGTTTGTCATTGTTTCCATAACGCTCTCAGCTCTCTGCAAGGTGACAACAGCCATATTCAGCATACTAGGCCAGCAGTTTGCGTTTCACTGCGCCCCATATTATCTGCGCCTCAAGTTTGATCAGCGCATTGTTGAGGGACGTAATGAACGCGCAACGTACGCAGTTGAGACGCATGTCCTGACCGTATACATCCCGAAGGAGCACAGCAACGAGCTGTTCACGCAGCTGGACAACCCCGCCTACCTCCTAGCCACGGATAAAGAACGCCAGCAGATGATACAGCTAGTCGGGGGTAGTAACATGCAGAGGGAGGATCCCGCAGCACTTGACGAAGATGAAACAGAGTTTCGTCAGCAACTGTCTTCTGCACGTGGGACAGCAGAGGGTTGCGGTGATTACGGTTTCGCAGGAACTTTTTCGGGGTTGTTTGCCTCCGTTGATGCTGGTATCGCTGCTGAAGTGCTTGACTTACCGCGTAACCCTGACGACACAACACCGGCCGAGCGGCGGCAGCTTCGCTTGGAAGCAGAAGAGCACGCCTTTGATGAGGACGCTCTGCTCTTAAGCTTTGAAGACGCTGAGGGAGAAGTGACGCGCTTGCTGCAGTACGTGCCTCAACATCGTGCGGACTACGTTACCGCTTTGGATGCGGAGGGGGTTCGCTACATTGTTCCTTCCACACCAGTGGGGGGGAATGCCAATACTGCTAGTACTACTACTACTGCGGCTGCTGCAGACGACTGCCTCGACAAGGGTGTGCTTGAGGAGGAGGATGTCGTATTGCCATTTTTCACTGGGGTTGTGGATGTATGGGCCGGAAATATTGGGGTGTTTAAACGTCCCCTCGTCGAGGAGGTTCCACAGCCGGTACTGTCAGACATGGAGGTGCCAATTGAAATCACCAAGGCGACGGTTTTAGCGTCTCCTGCCGGATCTCTCGCTATTCCGCAAAAGCGTCCGCGTGTCTCGTTCACTTTTGAAGAGCAGGCGGTGCTGATGAATATTAAAGCACCACGTTTGTTGTTTCCACCCGCTGCGCACATGGTTGACGCGCTCACAGTGGACATTTTGTTTTCCGAGGCCTACGATGACATTGTGACGGAAGGGACTGGCTGTAGCGAGTCCCTGTGGAATGTCTGCAAACTAAGCCCGGCACTCTCCTGGTTGGACCCGGCGGAGAATGTGTACGACGCCTGTGTTTTTTTTGCACGTCGAGCTCTCATCTATCCACTGCACCGTAATTTTGCCCTGATTCAGCGCGTCTTTTCCTCGGTTGGGGTGCGGCTGCTGTTGGGGAAATCGTACGTCGTAAAGGCCTTGCTGCGTGTGCGCGACATACTCGCCCACGCGGAGCACCGTCACGTGCTTGTCACCCTTTTTTTGACCCCTCTGATTGGATACTGGCTGGGCGTTCAGGACGCCGACGAGCGGTTGCTTCGCCTTGCGTTGGAGCTGCATGCGCATGTCACGCGTGCAGAGCCCGAGATGGAGACGGCTGCCTCCACCTCCTCGCTGCTTGTGCAACAGAAGAGGCGACTGCTCCCGCTGGGTTTGCTTAGTCTTGGCCTGCCGATTTCTTGATACAACCAAACGTCGTACCCCGCGGGGACTCTCTTTCTCCCTCTTTCTCTCTCTCTCTCTGTGTGTGTGTGTGTGTGGCATCACCTCCACCCCCTGTTCAGGGCAACTTAAACGATGAGGTGGAAATAGGTAGGGAACGAGAAAAAGACGAAACTAACAAAGCGATTAACATGAGTTTGCCGTCGCAGCGCAGGGCGTGGAAACGGGGGCACCCGTGTGTGTGCTGCTCCGTGCTTGGCTCCCCTCTGTGGGGTTGTTGGCTCCTGTATGTTAACCGGATACCAATTTGCTTGTTTGTTTTTCTTTTCTGTGCGGGGATCGCTCTAATTATTATTGAGATTTCCTTTTTTTTTTTTTCTTGATTCCATTTTTTATTCTTCACAAATGTGTGTCTGTGTTTGTGTGGCACTGTTAATGTGCCCGTGGTTTTGCGGTTGGCGTCCCGATTAGCGTCCAGGGAGCATTGTGGAAGGTGCTGCCGTAGTCGATGGCGCTTGCGCCTGCTTGCACCGACGATGATGATGTTAACTTTGTGGAGGTGGCATCGCACTTCTTCACGGGCGTCAACGACCCGCGCGTCGGGACCATGGATTTTTCGTTAGATGGACAATATTTTATTTCCTCTCACGCAGATGATGCGCTGCGGCTTATTAATGTTTTGACCATGCGGCACAATGAGACGATTCAGTTAGAAACATTTGGTGTACACTGCGCAAGGTTTACCCAGTCTAGCGACGTGGTCTGCGTGGCCCCCCGGTACAGCAGCGATGGCCACCTGTATCTGCTGAGTCTCACCTCGGCACAGCTGTTTGCCGCGATGGCATTTGTTAACGATGACGTGTCGGAGCTGCGAGCTGTTAGTAACACGCCGGTGTATTCAACGATATCCCAGTCTCCCCAAAGCGACGTGATTGCCTCCGTATTTTCAACTCAAGGGCGTCTGCTGTTGTTTCACCCATTGATCTCCGGAGCGATTGCGGCATCTGGTGAGCGGACGGTGCTGGGCAACAGGGCTGCCGTGTCATTTAGCCCCGATGGAACAAAACTTGTTGTCGGGGACGATCACCGCATTCATGTTTTTGATTATAGAAAGATGTTTTCCGCGCCGCTTGTGTCGTTGGAGAACAAGTCGATATTCACCGAGTCGAGTGCGGCGTCTCGGTGCAAAGGAGCTGAGGTGGCCGCTGACGGTTCGCACTTGTTGCTCACGTCTTCCGGAGGGGAGGCGGTTGTGTATTCCCTGAAGCAGGGAAGGGTGGCGTGCTCGTACTTCCACAACGTCGCCCGTCGTCACTTCATAGGCGCCGGTGACGCTGTGGGCGCAAAATTTATTTTCCCCAACGTCACAGGCTCGCTGGTGGTGCAGTCCTCCACCTGCATGAATGCAGGGAGGCACCTGCTGGTGTATGATGGTTATGATGGACAGTTCTCTATGCCGTGTCAGCGGGGCGCTCTTAGGTACGAACTGCAGTGCAAAGACAGCGATGTGCCTGTCGCCTTAAGTGTCAACTCGAAATACGCGCTTCTGGCGACTGCTGCGAGAGGTGTGACGTGGTGGTCCTTCAACGCCTAGGCGCCTAGCGTGGAGCGGCTGAGCCGAACAAAAGCACGCCGGTGGCTGGGAGTGGCGAGAGAGAAAACGATAGGGCGACAGGCCCAAGCAGCGAGCAAATTTCCTCATGTCTTTTTTTGTTCCATCGTCTCTTTTCATTCCTCTCCCCACGCCACACATACACGCACGCACGCACACGAAAAGTTATCTTTAAACAAACATTCCGTGCCATTACCTCTCCCTTTTATTTTTTGGTGCTGCTTTGATTTTACACTGCCACGCCAGGCTCGTATTTTTTATTGGTCGCTGTTGTGTTGGCTTCTCTTTTTTTCTCTGCACTTCTTCTTGGTGGGTGAATGCGTGCCGTTTGGGTATACCGAAGATAAGGTTGAGAGCGAGAAGGTAAGAGAAAGAGGGAAACAGAGGGAGAGAGGGCGGCGCTCGGGTGGTGTGCAACGTTTTTTTGACTCGACAAGGTGCGGGAAAAAGGCAGGAATAACATTAAAGCAAACAAACAACATTAATTAGGCGATAACATTCTTCTAAAAGAGCGGGAAAAACACATACAAACAGACAGACAGACACGACGCGTGTATAAAAAAAAGAAAAAAAAAGACGAAACCTCTCAATTTTTGTGTTTTTGTTTTATTTTGGGGTTTTGATAGCGATGCGGTTTGTTGAACAGCAGCGGGATTTATATCGTGTACTCCGAAGTCCATCGAGGCACACAGCAGGTGAACGCAAGCGGGCATATTTCTTTCTCTTCGCCTATTGCCTCACCATTGCGGCGCTCTTTTTTAGTTTTATGCACTTTGTGGGTGCGTGGGTTTCCGCTGGCCTACTACAACTTGTCATGGTCATTTTCTCCATGATGTACGCCCTCAACGTTGCGGACTGCCGGGACAAGTGCCTCAATGTGCTGGAGTGCGAGCGGGTTGTCAACCCCGTGCTGGAGGTTTACATCTGTCTCCGCGTGCTACAGCTTCTCCAAGCCATATTTTTTCTTCATAGCATTGTGCTGTCCATTACCTTTATCGCGGCGCTTTTGTTTCTGTTTTGGCGCATCTCAACCGGTATTTTCTTCGTTGATGCGACAAGTCTCTGGCGCGAGATCGGAAGACTCGAGCAGGGATCGTACTTCGTCATGGGCGTTGATATCGTGCTGTTTATGGTGTACCTTGTCAGCATGGTGATTGCCGTCGTCGTACACTATGCGGACTAGGAGCGCGGCTACGGTTGGCGACGGTCTGCGCGAGCGGGAGCAACAGCAGTAGCAGAAATAACAACAAAAAACACCAACAAAAACGAAGAAGGGGAAAGAAAAAAGTCACCCGCAAACCGGGTGGAGGAGCCGCTTCAAGCAACAAAGCCGTCAGCTGGAGTGACAGGGGCTGATGGAAACGACTTTTTTTGTCATATTCCTTTGGCCTGTCGCAGTTGGAGGTTTTCTTTGTTATGCTGACTTTATTTGGTGATGCTTTACACGTGGCTTTTCCCCACTGCGGAAGTCGTGCGTACCCCTCGTGCCCTCGTGGGGAGTGCTGGGTGCCGCTGGACGGCTTGGCTGCAGACAATGGGCGCGATAAATAAGAGGCCGGTGATTGACGTGGGATCCTGCCAGAAGTGGGAGGAGGGGGAGGGGGAGGGGACGCAACACTTCACGACGGCTTCGTCCATGTTTGCAATAACAAGGGCTGAAAAAGGGAATTATTTTCTTGAAGCAGGTGTATTCTCTACTTGTTATCATTTACTTTTTCTTGCTTTGTCTGTTTGCTTGAGTCTCACATGGTGTGCCTCCTCATTCGATTGAGCTTTGTCTCGTTTGTATTGTCTCTTCTCTCCGAAGCCTCACCTTCTTCTTCTTCTTTGTTTTGCTTCTTGCTTGTGGCGGAAACTCGCCTGTCTTTTCTTCGCTTTCCTGATCTGCTTCCTTCCATAAGAGGATGACGGAGGCTCTGGCGGAGATTGGCCTCGGGTTGGGGCAGCTGCAGGGCATGTTGCACACTATTTTGAACTCGACGGACAACAACGAGCGCCGCAGCGTGGAGTCAACTGTTGTGCATGCCCTCAATAGTCCCTCCAATCTTATGCTCCTGGTGCGTGTGGTGCAAGACGTGCAGACAGTGTCTTCCGGTGTTCGCCAGCTTGCGACTGTGCTGCTGCGAAAGAAGATAAATTCGTTGTGGCATGCAATTTCAATGGAATCGCGGGTAGAGCTAAAGCAGCTGCTTTTGACGCAGCTTGGGATTGAACCCGTGCGCGTGGTGCGGTTCGCGCTGGCGCATCTTATCTCTCGCCTGGCGAAGGCGGACACGCTGGAAACGGGGGAGGGATGGCCAGAGTTACAAGTGGCGATTCGTGCCGCGGTGGAGGACCCACGTGGAGACGTGCGGGAGCTTGCGATGGTCTTGGCGTACAGCATAGCGGAGGTGGTGGGGGAGTGCGGCGACCTCAACACCCTGGTGATTGAGGCGGTTCTTCAGGGCATGACGGATGCGGAGGTGAATGTGCAGCGAGCGGCCCTGAAGGCAATGGGGGCGCTTTTGCCATTTGTGGACGTAAATTTGGATGGGGAGGATAAGACGACGATGACAAGGAAAAAGCGCGAGCGGGAACATTTGCTGCAGTGTCTCATCCCGCGTTGCCTGGAGCTTCTGAAGATGTACGCGTCTCTGGAGGAGAGGACAAGCGTCTGTGTAAGCGTCTTGGATCTGCTTGAACAACTGGTCGAGGACCTTAGTGTCAAGAGACACGGAGAAATGCTTCATAATTTGGGTCTTGAAATTATTTCGGTGCTTCGAAACACGCTGAATCAGCCGCGCGTGCGTCAGAACAGCAGCGAGGTGCTGGTGACGCTTGTAAACTTGAAGCCCAAGTTTGTGACCACAATGTTGCTTCAGCCCATGATTGCAGCGTGTGTGCAAGTAATGGGCGAGGATGGTACTATTTCGCTTCCGGAGGTGGCACACGTGGAGGACTCGGAAAACGACGACGCAGACAATACCATCGGCGAAGATGCCGACATGTTGCACGTAAACCCGCCTTGCATGTACGCTGGGCGTCTGTTAAGTACGCTTGCAACAAAAGTGTCAGCTAAGTTGTTTACCAGCGCGTTGTTGCCGTTTGTTTCGCATGTTTCAGAAAATCCACAGGCGGGTCCTCTTGAGCGCAAGGCAGCCATCCTTTCTTTGGCGTGTCTGGCGGAGGGTAACCCAGGCTACCTGCGACGCAAAGTTCGGTACGTATTGAACCTAACGCATGACTTCTTGTGCGACAGTAGCCCCATTTCCCGTGAGGCGGCTGCCTTTTCCCTCACCTACTTCTGCCAGCATCTCCAGCCGGAGGTGCTGACGCATCATCAGCAGCTCTTCCCCATGCTTGTGCCACTTCTTCGCGATGAACATGATGGTGTGCGTCGTCGTGTGGCTGTTGTACTGGACACACTCTGTGAGAACGTTGCGGAGGATGTGGAGCCGTATGTGCCGCTGGTGTTGCCAGCTGTGCTGGAAGCCATTGGGTGTGTTTCCTTGGAAACGCAGAGAGCTCTCTGCGGCGTGATTTCCTCTCTGGCCATTTCCCGAAGTCCTTCGTTTCAGGTTCATGCCACTCAGTGTTTGGAGCTGCTGAAGGCGCCGCTTACAATGAACTCACCGGAGACGATCCTGCTTCGAGCAAAGGCGACAGAGGCGGTGGGCATTGTTGCAAACGCCATTGGGAAGGAGGCTTTTATGCCGTTCTTACCTTTTTTTATTGAGCGCGTGGCTGACAACTTCCGTACCCGGCAGGCTGAGCTGCGGGAGGAAAGTTTTGGGTTCCTGTCAAACCTTTGTGAGACTTTGCGTGTCGATTTTGTGCCCTACCTTAGCGACTCTATTGGATATGCGTTGCAGACCATCAACGAGGATCGAACACACTACACAAATAAGCACCCCCTGGCGGAGGGATGCATGCGTAATGTAAAAATAACGAACGGCGGCGAGAAAAGCGGTGATGAAAGCAGTGAGGAGTCGGAGGAAGAGAGTGATGCTGAGGAAATTCACGCGCGTGTGCGTACGGCGGATGTGGAGGAGAAGAGCAGTGCTGTTTATTTTATTGGTGTCTGTGCGGAGGTACTCCTTGCAGATTTTGGTGCCGCATGGATTGATGTCTGTTGGCCGGTGCTGATTGAGTTGGACGCGTCCTTCCACAACAGTATCCGGTGCAGCGCCCTCGTGGCACTGGCGAAGATGGCGAAGGCGGCGCAGCGTTCTGAGCCTGTTGCAAGTTCCCTCGCGAAGGACACATCAACAGTGTACGCACGTCTTTTGCTGGACAACTTGGTTAACGACACGCTGCTTCCGTGTATTCATGAAGAGGGGGATAAGGAAGTCGTGGCATCCGCGTGTGACGCGTTCGCGGTGTTGTTTGACCACTTTGGTTCTCAGGTACTTAGTGTGGACGTTGATGTGTTTGTACAGGCTGCCACGGCTCTCCTGAAGCAAAGTACTGCCTGCCAACAGTCACATGAAGACGACGATGACGATGAGGAGGAGGAGGAGGAGGAGGAGGAGTGCCCACCCACGGGGGACGCGGCGATGGAGCTGGGCGAAGACCACGACGGTGTGCTGATGGACGCGGTTTGCGACATGATTGAGTCGTTTGCAAAGGCGTATGGCCCATCCGTTAAGGCCTACATTGATGCCATCTTTCCGTTTCTTCTGCCCTACGCCGCGGATGATCGCCCGTCGGAGGATGTTGTCATGGCAACTGGGTGCATCGCCACGATCATTGAGGCAATGGGCGCGGCGTCTGAGCCGTACGTCGAGGATGCCGTTTCACTGGCATTGCACCTTATTGATACCACCGACGAATCTTCTGCAAAGGCCAACTGCGCCTATCTTCTTCGGGTCTTGGTGGAGTGTTGTCCCAATCGCTTTGATAATGCGTCCGCCACAAACCCCATCCTACAAGCGCTCTGGGGCATTGTCGGAAGCCAAGATGAGATTCCTGCAGCTGTAGACAACGCGGTATCGGCAACATGCACCATGGTGCGTTGTCTCTCACCCAACATTGTTCCGCTTCCAACGGTTATCCCGGCACTGCTAGAGCGAATACCGATGCGGGTAGATCGGACAGAAAACGCCAACGCCATTCGAACCCTTATACATCTTCTGACTGTGCAGCGTGAGTTTACCACGACACACGTCTGGATGGCGATGGTGCGCTGCGTTGCGACCGTGCTTGCCGCATTGACAGTGGAGGAGGAACAGAAGCAGCTGTTAGTTGCCCAAGGTGTTACCCCTTTCATTGTCAAGTACAGAAACGAGTGGAGAGAGGCATTTACGCAGCTGCCAATGGAATTACGAGCCGCCTTGGAACACAATGGCTGCTGCTGCTGAGCGCATCGGCCGAGGTTCCGACGGACGGGGGTAAAACCCATCGCTTGGCGTAGAGAAAGGATTAACACGACTAAAGGAATATTAACTGAACTTTATCATATATATATATATATATATATATATATATATATATTAT